ACTTTTCACCCACATTTTCTACTCAAAACCCTCGATGATTGTGTTTATTGTTTAATTACGGATTCTTGAGTCTATCTTTCATTTTGGTGTAGAAACAACTAATTGCGTCGGTAGGAAAGTCGAATACCTTAAAGCCGGGGGCCACTCTGAGATTTTAGGTTATCTAGCTCGTTTTATCTTTCGAATTAATTGCAATGCTTTGACCAATCCGGCAACTTTGTGGGTGTGTTGTCTGAAAACCCTCACGAGACACAACTCGTCCTTTGGTGGTACCCAGGGGTTCAACGGCTTGTTGCATACGCTAAATGCAATCGTGTTTCCCTACGTTAGTGGCCTAGTTTAGTTTGTCGTTTTTATTTCATTTTTCGTTTTGATTTACTCGGGACGAGTAAAGATCTAAGTTTGAGGGTGTGATAAGTGTTCGTTTTGCACGATTTTTGCTTATCAAATCTTCGAGTTTTGGTCTTCGTTCGTCCGAGTTTCGGCTTTATTTGTGTATATTATTGCGTTTCTTGTTTTATTTCCTTTTTTAGGTTTTGTTAGCTTTTGTTGCCAAGTCGAAGCCATTTGGAAGCGAAACCGATTTTTTTCAAGCCGAGAAAGTGGTCATTAAGACCCAGATCGCGATCCAGGAAAGCCGGATCGCGATCTGGGGGCAAATTCCAGTAGTGTGCAAAGTTCAGACCCAGATCGCGATCCAGGAAAGTCGGATCGCGATCTGGTGACAAATTCCAGTGGCAGACTAGATTCAGACCCAGATCGCGATCCGCACTTCCTGGATCGCGATCTGGGAGGCGGTTCGCGTTTTTTTTTAAAGAAGCCAGATCGCGATCTGGCTTTATTGGATCGCGATCTGGCGCGTTTTTCAAGGCTAGATATTTTAAATTGCAAAGCTTCTTGAGGAAGCTTTGCAATTTACTATAAATAGAAGCAAGCCCTCACTCTTCATGCTTCTTCGACTTTTTACGGTTTTCGACGGTTCTTCGCGGGAATCATCAACGGGGGTTCCGACTTGGGTTTTTCTTACGCAATTTCTTTACGTTTTGTTCTTCATTTCCTTTGTACATTCTTTTGATACTATGTTTGTTATGAACTAAGAACATTTTCTTCTAGGGTAATGAAGCCTTGTATATATTGATTTCGATCGTCATTTCTACTTTCTAATTGTCGTGTTTTGATTTCGTTTATGTTTTCCTGTATTAAATGCTTCTGATTGTGTTGATCAGCTCTCAGACTGATATTAAATAGGAATGAACTCGAGAGAGGATTTCTTGTTTGAAGTTAGGAAAACATAGCCCGGGGTGTGGAAACGGAGACGTGATGCACTTCGGGTAGCCCTTAAGGACTTGACCTAAATGCTCTCTTAATAGCAGGTTCTGAACGGAGACGTCGGACCTGTGGGTAGACTCTAGCTACACTGGAGACGGGGGTTAGAGTATATTAGCGTCTGGGTTAACGAATAGGAACGTGATTTTAGATGGTGGATTTGTCGATCGTTGTTGATTATACCTAGGTGGATTTGGCCCTAGAAGTCCCTTTTAAATCGAAGTCCCCCGCGTTGAGTTGTCGTTACTTTATTTTACGTACATTTTATATTTGCATGTTTACGTTCTTGCATGCTTTTAAATTAGGGTTTCTCACCAATCCACTTATTTACGATCGGCTAGATAATATAACGATAATATAATTACACTACTCAGCATTTGAATCTACAAGGTCCCTGTGGATCGATATCCGGAACCACTGTTCTGCAAAATGCGATACCGTATACTTGCGGTAATTTATACGTGAGGAAAACGCGTATCACAATCCCCTTAGAGCATCTCCAACCGGTTTCACCATTTTTTCACCAAATCCCATTTATGGTGGTGAAAAAATGGGTTCATCTCCCACCGGTAGCACACCATTTTACTCTTCCACCATTTTTAGTGGAAAAATGGTGGTTTTGGTCTCCAATGGGTATCACCAAAATTTAGACCAAATATTAAAATAATAATATTTCACCATTTCACCACTTATAGGAAATGGAATTTGGTTTGGTCTCCAATGGCATTTCACCATATATACCCCAAAACTATAAATCTAATGTTAATCGTAATTTTATAATATTTTATTTCCTAAATATTAATTATAGATCCAATGCTAAGTAATAAATTTTCTTAACTAAATAATTTAAAAATTATGATGATTTAAATTTATATAATTTGTGTTATTGTTTATCATGTTTTGTTATGTTGTTTGTTATTTTATGAGCTATGTATTTCAATTTAAATGTCCCGTCCTGTATTTCATCAATTAAAGTGTGTTTTGTTAATTATTCTATTGTTTCTTATTGTATTTTATTAATAGCAATTAGCGTATTAGTTAAGTAAAGAAATGAACTAATAAACATTGATACCAACAAAATAAACAAATTAATTAAAAATAAGCATATTTATATTTTTAGAATTAATGTTTTGTTAATAATAACAAATGTATTTATATTTTAAAAACTAATTTAATAACTAATACCAATGTATTTACGATAAATATGCTAATAAGTTGGTAAGCGGGTGCAATTAGTTAAAATAGTCATTTTGTATGGTACTTAATAAAATGGTGTTAATTACGCCAAATCCTATTTTTACCTCTATACTTGGTAGGAAAAATAGGATTTGGTGGAAAAAATAGGAAAATGGTGGACCGGTGGGAGATGAAAATTCCTTCACCAAAAAATTTGGTGGAAAAATAGGATTTGAGTATTTGGTGATATGGGGGTTGACCACGGTGGGAGGCTAAAACCAAATCTCTATAATTTTAGGTGTAATGGTAATATATGAATTTTGGGTGGGAGGCTAAAAACACCTAAATTAGATGAAAAAATGGTGTTATGGTGTCCGGTCGGAGATGCTCTTAAAAACTTTAAAATTGCAAAAGGGTATAAAATGCAGAAATTTCCAATTTAGGGGTTAAGGTGTAAAGTTCTGAATATAACTCTTTCTCTTAATAGAAATTAAAAAAAGTTAGGGACCAATTTGAAACATTTGAAAACTGAAGTGACCCTAATTAGAACCCCTCTCTTCAGTAGTCGGCGTCACCAGCCCTCCGCCGCCACGGAAAACACACTTACACCGCCAGAAGCTATCAGCCGGAACTTTGTCGCCGTGTCCTTCGTTCCGGTTCCACTAACCCCGTTCCGGCCTCTACAGCGGCGTTCCGGCGAACCATGCCCGCCGTCGCTTCCCTAGCTTCGACCACCGCCGCCGCCATCACCACCTACTCAATCGTTAGCTCCGCTCACCCGTCCTGCGCTAACTGTACCTGCGCCGCCACCTCCATTGCTCTTCACCCCAGAATTCTCTCTGCGGCCAAAAAATTGGTATTTTCAATCATTTAAATTTTATTTCATTTGAGGTTATAACGAAATCAATTTTGTTTAATTTTTTGTATTTGCATTCGTTTTTTGCTTGCGTTTCTATTCCACATTGTGTCTGGGTTTAGCCGTTGACGACGTTGCATAAGTTAACTGCGTTTCGAGTTAAAGCCATGGCAGAAATTCCTTCAACTCCGCGGTTAGAGTCCAACGCATCATTGGCCGGTACTCTCTCTCTCTCTCTCTCTCTCTCTCTCTCTCTCTCTCTCTCTCTCTCTCTCTCTCTCTCTCTCTCTCTCTCTCTCTCTCTGTTTGTGTGTGTGTCTGTGTGTGTGTGTGTGAATTTATCTATCAAAAGATGATATATTTCATATCGATTTCGTGTACATTTAATCTGTTGCGCTGTTCTAATTTCTTATATTATAGGGAAGAAGCAAGCTTTGATTTCATTGTCAGACAAGAGAGACTTGGTTTTGCTTGGCAATGGATTACATGAACTCGGGTGAGGACTACTATTGTTTTAAAAACTCGACATTGCAATCTTTTTGGTAATTTCTGTTTAAGAAGTTCAAGTTGTGTTTGGTACGATGGTGCGATATTTAAAGTTGGCTCCTTGTTCTTTTGGAATACTATTGTCCATCGAATACATTTCTGTTTTTTTCCAAGTAAATAGTGGTTTATTGGTTTACTTGAGAGATTGAGTATTTGACGTAATTGACGTAAGGTGTATTTTATAGTAATGTATAGATACTGATATTGAAGACTTGAATTTCACATATTTCTCTCCGTGTCACTTCATTGTTAGGATTCCGTAATATATGTTCTTTGCTTCTGAAGTACGTGAGGAGATGATTTAGTTCATATTGGGTTCAGTGGGTAATAAAGGAGTTATACCAAAGTGGGTGGCTGTAAACGAGGATTTGCCGTTTTTTCAAATTAATATGGTGCTTTGGGGTCCATGTTGATTTGGCTACTTTTGCCATGTAACTTGCATCACATCCATACTGTATGTAAGTTATTGTGCCCCACACTAACTAATGTCTAATCTTATATTATTAAGATTCACAATTATTTCAACGGGAGGAACAGCTTCTTCTTTGGAAAGTTCTGGCGTGCCTGTTACCAAGGTGGAGGAACTCACTCATTTTCCGGAAATGGTAAGCCTTTGCCTCGACTGCGTAATTCGATGTTAATTTTCATGTAGTTTTATGAATGCGTTTGAGCAATCTATACAACCAATACATTCTCCTCATAGTTCTGTCTTGAATTGGAAAAACACAAAAAAGTTCCCCCTTGCACCTAAAGATGGAAAGTAGCCCAACTTTTTTCCCTTTGTTTTTTGTCTGGTCGAGCTAAATCTGTATTAGAGGAAATGCAATATTTTTCTTGTTTTGTTCTCTTTTATGGTAGTGAAGCATTGAGTACATTCTCTGCTCGTGGAAGCTGTTTGTGGAATTCATTAGTCTATGTATATCATGAAAATCATTTTACGTCCAAACTTATTCATGTTGTTCTACGGTACAATCTATGTTGTAATTGAGCTTAATTCACTATAGAATTTATTTTCTGCCGTTGCCATTGATGCTGTTCTTGCAAATGTTTTCCCGTAGAATATCACTGCCTAACTTTCCTGAACTTAAATTTTCTTCTACATCCTTTACAGCTTGATGGCCGTGTAAAAACTTTACATCCGAACGTGCATGGAGGTATTCTTGCGAGAAGAGATCAACAGCATCACATGAAAGCCCTTGATGATCATGGGATTGGTGAGTTAATAGTTCTTGTTGGTAGAGCAATTAGTTAAGAGTTGCATATCTTGTGCTTTGCGTCTCTTCTTTCCGTTTTTCTCCTAGCTGTATATGGCCATCTTACAGCGACATCATCCACTGTCACGTTATTTTCTAACGTTTATTTAGGAATAATCCAAAATAAGCTACAAGACAGTTTTTTTTTGACAAACTTATATTATACCGCGATGAATTCCTCTTTAAGTCTTAATCCTTTTATTTTAATTGATAAACATTTAAGCTTCCTTTGTTTCTCCATGTTACGATGCATAAGCTATTTGTCAACTTGTGTCTCTCCAGGTACATTTGATGTGGTAGTGGTTAACTTGTACCCCTTCTATGAGAAGGTTTCCTCTTCTAGTGGGATTTCTTTTGAGGATGCGATCGAGAACATCGACATTGGTGGACCTACCATGATCAGAGCTGCCGCAAAGGTCATCCATGCTTTTAACTTTTATTTCGATACTAGTAAATTATGCTGAAAATTTCCTTCAGGTTCAAGAAACGAAGACGAATAAATGATGTTCTTTTACAATATTTTTCCTTCTATTGTTATTACCTTTAAAAATATAGCACCATGAGGAATCTATCGAAATATTATTTTCTCAACCCGTTTCTAAATTACATTTTCTCATTCACAGAACCATAAAGATGTTTTGGTTGTAGTGGACTCGAATGATTATCCAGCACTCTTAGAATATCTCAAAGGAGGACAGAATGACCAGGAGTTCCGGAAGTGGCTGGCTTGGAAGGCTTTTGATCACGTTGCTTCTTATGATTCCGCAGTTTCCGAGTGGTTGTGGAAGCAGACCAGTAAAGGTATGTTAGAAAAAATTGCGTATCGTAATGTAATGTTCATTAATAGATCGTAATGTTTTCATTAATATATCTGTCATCGCAGATAAGTTTCCACCCAGCCTGACGGTACCTTTGTCTCTCAAGAGTTCACTTCGGTATGGTGAAAATCCTCATCAGAAGGCTGCGTTTTACGTTGATAAGTCTCTTGAGGAGGTCAATGGTGGTGGCTGCGCGACTGCCATTCAGCACCATGGAAAGGTACACCAAGTGGTTCTAATGTTATAACCGACGTATTGTGTGGAGCATCTTCTTTTTAAAATGGAAAATGACTGATTTGTCTTTTATTGATGGTACCTGGTACGTACGTACAGGAGATGTCGTATAATAATTATCTAGATGCGGATGCAGCTTGGAACTGCGTGTGTGAGTTTAGTAAGCCGACCTGTGTGGTTGTGAAGCACACAAATCCTTGTGGGGTAGCATCGCGCGACGATATTATCGAAGCGTACAGGCTTGCAGTGAAAGCAGATCCAGTCAGTGCTTTCGGTGGCATCGTTGCCTTCAATGTTGAAGTTGATGAGGTAAATAACATTTTTATTAATTAGTTTTTCATTCTCGATTTTGCTAGTAGCCCTTTCATGTTTCCACTTTGTTCCGACAGGCTCTTGCGAAAGATATTAGGGAGTTTAGGAGTCCAACGGACGGTGAAACTCGTATGTTTTACGAGATTGTCGTTGCTCCCAGTTATACCAAGAAGGGGCTCGAAATACTCCGAGGGAAGTCGAAAACATTGAGAATACTCGAGGCGACTAAGAATAAACGAGGGAAGCTCTCACTGAGACAAGTTGGTGGTGGGTGGCTAGCTCAGGAGGCAGATGATTTGACCCCGGAAGATATCGAGTTCAACGTCGTTTCCGGAAAGTCTCCACAAGAAAACGAACTTAGTGACGCAAAATTTGCATGGCTCTGCGTAAAGCACGTGAAAAGCAATGCCATTGTTATTGCCAAGGTCAGCAATTTTATTTAATTCATTTTTCCTTCCGTCTTATTGGTTACAATCTGTTGAAATAGAAAATGTGCTTCTTATGCAGAACAATTGCATGTTGGGTATGGGAAGCGGGCAACCGAATCGGCTCGAGAGTTTGAGAATAGCAACGAAGAAAGCAGGGGATGAAATCAAGGGAGCTGCATTAGCCAGCGATGCCTTCTTCCCATTTGGTAAGTTTGCAATTACTTCGTTTTTGGCGGTAAAACTTGCCAGTTTATCAACATAGTAAACAAAGAATATTATATCGGTAAGAAAATTGAGTTTATTATTTATTTTTTATTATTTTAAAAAACAGCGTGGAATGATGCGGTTGAAGAAGCATGTAAAAGTGGGGTGGGTGTTATTGCCGAGCCTGGGGGAAGCATAAGGGATGCTGATGCAGTCGACTGCTGTAATAAGTATGGAGTTTCGCTCGTTTTCACTAATGTCAGGCACTTTAGGCATTGACACTGCACCGTATTTTTCGGAAATTTTGTTTTCTAAACCTTTTACTCTCCGTACTGTGTTTTTTTTTTTTCTTTTTTCGAGAGGGGTTCGGGTTCGGGCTCGGGCTGGTGCCCTAGAAAATATGAGAAAGTATGACAAACTTTATCAACAAGTTTATAATCGACTGTTGTCTCATTTAGCTTGCATGCTGTAACGTTTATATTTTACAGTTTGGAATAATATAAACGCTCTCCTTACATACACGTGAGTATATTTATTTATGTATATATTATTTATAAATTTCTTACAACAATAAAAAAAACCAAATATCATAAATTATCATGCAAAAAATAAAAGTATCTAAGAATTAATAAATATATAGTATATAATATATATAACTGTATTATATCTATTATGGAAAATAAATAAGGATACATCCACTCCTAAAATTCTTTAGGGTTTATTAGGGATAACCCCCTTGTTCATATTTTCCAATGAGGTAGATCCAATTTTTTTTCCACTTTTTGAGATAGACCCAATTTTGCCAACTTGGCAAAATATATTATATAATTTTCCTTTAATACCCCGTTTATTTTTAAACGGCATTTAATTCCTTTAATACGTGATTTGAGATTTGCTGATACGTTGCCTAAAATCACGGAATAATATTACGTGAGATCATTGGCCGTTATACCAAATCGTGTATAATATTTTCGGATGTTCTCTTTCAGCGTTCCAGGGGTTTTTTTATCTTTGAAGATTTCTGCACCGTCGTGGAAATAGGATCGAATTGAGCGCTCATCTGTTGGACGTAGTTAACCGGGTATGAATGCGTTTTTCGATTTATTTTCCGTTCAATGGCTAGGATTGTCGTGTACGGTGGTTAGAAATTTTAAGAGTTGTGTTGATACTTGATTATATTATGTAGAACGTTTTTTAACACAATTATTCCGTCATATATACATCGTTAATTTTGGCGGATGATGTTTGTTTGGAAGAGGATTGACAGAGTTAGATAAGGATTGTTCACGCAGATTGGACCAGAGTTATTTTATATGAACATCGTAGTTGGTTTACGTAGTAATTGAAATAACTATCCGCGGTCGTGGAGTTCATGTGTCTGATCCCGGTCGATAGTTGATTTATTTGTTTATAACAGTGGATTTTAGGACGCTGGGTAGTACATTAAAATATACTTTGTAGTCTTTTATAAGTTATCGTATGAATTTTGCATTTTAAGTTTATTTTTGATCATATTAATATATTTTTTAGTATTTTGTATTTTTAATGTCGTATCATGATTCAAGGTTTTTATCGATGGCGAATTTTGTACGGATTTTGTTGAGATTTGGTGGGTTGGTTGCTATAAAGAGGTGTTCGAATGGGTTTACTCGCGGTTCATTGGTTGCATTTGTTATTTCAAAGTGGCCACAACTCGATGGGTGGGATATAAGCATGACATATAGGCTGGAAGGCGTTAGTGAATGTATCTTGGCTGACGATGAGGACATGATTTCGAGGTTTGGTGGGTTGGTTGCTATAAAGAGGTGTTTACGATGTAATGGCTCGGTAACGTCGGTTAAGTGCTAAACCGTTGTAATACAGTAGTATACTATTATGAATACCATATGATACTACCATTATCATTTTATTATACTATTATGAGATTACTAATGTACTAGAGTTTTTTAACTCGACATATTGGTTTGATTGTGTTATGATGTGTTTTAAGTATTTTATCAAAACCCTAGATTGAAATTATGAGATTATTAATGTACTATTTTATTGGTTATGTTGGAATACTTTACGTTGGTTTTGTTCTCAATGTTCTTGTCATTTCAGTGGTGTATTGTTTGTAACACAATTTCATATCACTACTATAACCGTAATATACTATCATAGCAGATTAATGTACTATATTGAAATTATTAATATACTATGTGGTTGAATAATACGGGATCCATAGTCGATTAACGAGATCCATAGTCGAATTAGATCAATGAGATAGTCTATTACATGATATAAGGAAAATTACCATAATTGATTAGTATTTCAAACAAACATATTATTCAGTTTCCATTTATATTATTATTTTTTCATATATATTTATTATTTACCCTAATCGTTTTCATATAATAAGGAAAATTACCCTAATTGATTAGTATTTCAAACAAACATATTATTCAGTTTCCATATATATTATTATTATTATTATTCTATGGTTTTGATGATTCTTCGGCCCATAGTCGATTAACGAGATCCATAGTAAAATTATACCAGTGGGATAGTATATTAAATGATATGGGATAGTATATTAACACAGATGTAATTCGACTATGCATCTCGTTAATCAACTATGGGCCGAAGAATTATCAAAACCCTAGATTTGAGTAATCCTAGATTTGAGTAACCCTAGATTGGAGCAGTGACGGCGGCCCATAGTCGATTAACGAGATCCATAGTCAAATTATATCAGTGGGATAGTTTATTAGTATATTGTCGGTTTCATTGGGCAAAATTACGTGAGTTTGCCAGAGATTTGCTGCCCAAGTATTTCAAGCACAACAATTTCTCCAGTTTCGTTCGGCAACTAAATACTTACGTGAGCTTTTGCTAATCGAATCCTTCGATCTGTAACGAGGAATTTTGGTTTTATTTTTTATTTTTTCGGTTATTGATTGAGTTGCTTATCTGATGATTTTTTCGGGATTTGGGAAGGTTATGCCTGATCGGTGGGAGTTCTCCAATGAATGCTTTCAAAAAGATGAGAAAAGGCTGTTGTGCGAAATCCAGCGCCGGAAAATTGCTACGACGTTGCACCACAGCGGACAGTGTCTCCGTCGAACTCCGGCGAGGAGCAAGTACTTTCCTCATCTAATTCCTCCGGTACTGTCCGCGAGATCCGTATAAATTTCAAGTTTTGAGAGGTTTGCATATTTTTCGGTAGTGGGTTTGTGGGGATAGTGTTTTAACGGGAAAATATGGTGAGATTTGATATTATTTCAAAAGGTAAATAACGAGATTTGTGGGATTTGATTGAGGGTACTTATGTAATTTAGAAAAGTTTGGGTTTTTATCAAAATGGCAAATTTAAGTTTGGGTCTACCCCTATTATTTGAATGTCTAAGGGGGTTATATCTAATAGACCCAATTCTTTATTTGAGATAACCCCTAGCACCTAAAATCCCGAAACTACCCTGCAGCCAAATACGGATTCTAAATCAATTGAAAAATCAAACCCCATTAAACGCCCCCCATTATCAAATCTTACCAAAAACGACGCATCAACTTCCTTTGTAAAATCGCAACTAGGGGTGTATATCAAATAACCTCATTAAAATGTTTATCAATTCTATAATGATTTAATTACGGTAACGTTACTAATTTTGAATCAGTTTCAATTTTCATGGATTGTGTTACTAATAATTGTCATCCATTTTGATTTATAGATTGCCGCCCATTCTAATATTCGAATTTTTGATTTTTTTTACCTCTTTCCAAAATTATGTTCACAATCCATACTATATAAACCCCTCATGTCACGTCAATCTTATTGTTGATATTCAAGTTATCTACGTCACGTTATTGTACGTAATAAAGTTTGTGTATTTGATTTTCATAGCACTTTTAATTCATTTAGTGTTTTTTTGTCCCCATTGATATTCAAATATTTGTTTACGAATTTTAATACTTCCCCTATGAAAATTGGTATTAACAATCCAACACCGTTCAAAGATGAATATTGGTTTCGAATTCCCGCCAAGAAAAAAATATTGGATCGACATACGTATTTATGCAAAATTTTAAATCGGGAACGGAGCGGGAATGGGTGTGTGTATCCACATCGTACCCACCCCAATCGCAACCCACCTTGGTTACAGAGATTCACCGGCGACCCCAAAACTGCTCCACCAGAACGAAAGGAGTAGTCATCTTCCTCAAAGGCAAACCATACATCACTTACCATAGTCAACTTCCGATCATCACTTTCCTCTAGCGTCAATAGTGGTCATCTTCCCCCAATGGTGAAGAAGATACCGCAATAACATAGGTTTATGGCTACATTACAACATACTTTGTTTCCCTTCCGTTCATATCTAAAACCCTCAACAAAAAAATGTTTTACTGGCCGTAATCGAAAGCAAAAGAGCGAAGACAACGAAACCCTAGAAACAGGTTTTACCCTAATTCAACCATTTTATTACTTCAACTACACCAATTTGTCCAAATTTTGGCAGTCATGTATTCAAATTTTTGCATTGTGTTCATGTTAATAATAGTCAGTTGTAGTCATATTGGGTGATTGGGTACTGCATAGTCATATTTGACGTATGTAGTCATATTTATGTTTGCTACAACATGTGTTTTTCTGTGTGTGGTGGTTCTTTTCAAGAATAGTTGTTAGTAGTCATGTTGACATCCTAATATATATGTACATCATTGTCTAGATAATGAAACAAACGAACCGACATACACATGTAAGAGGAGGAATTGGACTCGCAATACCGAGCCAACATGTCGTCAATTGTGTCATTCTTCGAAGATATTCACCTGCGACCACGATACTATGCATGTCTTTGCCTTACTCCTTTCTATCACCTGTTTGTATCATTCACAAAACACAAGCTCGACAGAGACGACGTGGCAGGCACACAAAATGGAGCTTTCAAAATAATGCTGACCTACAACAAAACAGACAGGGCATCCCAAGTGAGAGGGAAGACTATTACAAGCACACCAGAGAATTGCAAGTTAATCTTTGACATCTAATCTGGCAACACAAAAATGCCTTTCAACGGGTCAAAAAAGCCGTAACAAGGGCTTGCAACATGAAGATTCGACGCACACCCGTCGCTCTATCAAAAAACTTTGAAACATCAGCTACTTGAGTGCATAGATAGCGATGAAAATGAAGGCGTTGAAGACGTGATCAAATTGATAATTCTGCACGTTATGTCAACCGTCATTTTCAATACTTCAGCTGAACTCGTAGCTTGGTGGATGTTCAAGTACTACGAAGATATAAATCAAATAAATGACTTCAAATGGGCCAAAGGAATAACTGATTTCTTCATTAAGCAAATCCACACGTCAAAAAAAGGCGACACAATCCGTGGTTGCATACCATTTATACCGGTAAGTATGAATATTCATTTATAGTCACTTGGTGCCATATGTAGTCATAATTAAACATGTATAAATCTCCATGCTGACTAATTTATGTATATATACGCAGTACTAGATGTGTGAGCGTGTAGCACTCGTGCCTCCAATGGCTGATTTTGCTTTCTTAAGATTTAGGCGGTGGATATATCTGAGCTTGCAGGTGTGTTGAGCAACAAGGAAATGGAAGATATTATCCCACAACTCGTCATTGAAAATTCGTTGGTTCCAACCGATCAAGAACAACAGATCTTGAATGGACTTTTGTTCTACAATAATATCAGCGATGATGATGAGCGTCAACCTGACATTGATGAACATAATAGCAACAACGATGCTAGTGTTCATATTGAAGCTGCTTCAGATTCTGACGAAGATGAAACGATCAGAACCTGGTACCAGAAGTGGCAGTCTTCACTTGAACTCAAGATCACAACCGAGTTGAATGAAACAAAGAGGCTGTTGGAGGTAGAAACAAAACAAATAACAGAACATCAGGCTCAAGGGTCGGAACTGCAAGCCACCATAGAAGACCTTGAGATGGAAATAGTAATACTAAAAAATGACAAGCAAGTACTTGTTAAAGAAAAAAAACATCTATCACGCTTCAACTTTTAAAACTCCAAAATGAGGTCACTCTTAGTGGAGTTGATGGACAGTCTTTTGATATCTTAAGCCAAACACAGCCACACGAATGAGCTCAAAGAGAAACTCAAAGAGAATGCTGAACTGAAAGCAGTGAATGAATCCCTCGTCAAACGTCTTGTTGAGCGGAAGAATGTTACAACACATTTGGACAACGAAACAAAAGTCTTGTTGACACAGAGTGTTGAAGCGGATAATATCTCACTGACATATATGCCTGAGCACAGAGCAAATAAAATCTTCCTAGAGGCCGAAATCACTCTTATAAAGTCTGCTGAGAAGACTCATCTTGAAACAATTAAAGATAGGAACCAACAGATATCCGAACTCGAAGCTAATTATGCGGAATATGCAAAGGCGCTTGAAGAGCGCCTACCAATTCATCATTCGAATAGCGACTTTGAAATTTTATTGGAATCCTGTGTGGTGATTTGAACCTATTTATCTAACATTATGCAAGTTTAATTTCATGGTAATTTCTTTTATCTGATCTTATTTAGTGCATGAATTCAACTAATTTATGTTGCTATGTGTTATTGTTAAAATTTGAATCGGCATGTCGTTTTAATAATTAGAACATGGATAGAAGAGCCTTCGAGTAGTTTTCACCGAATTATTGTGTTAACTGCATGTGGTATCGTAGACATACATATATTACCTTAGTTAGCCGTTTACGAGACTTGTTAGTTAATGCCTTGTTCATAATTGGCTTGCATGGACATATAGTGAACTGTTTATAAATAATAGACTTATAATACATGCGACAGTGGATTATGTGTAATTTAGCTGCTCGAATTAATAATCAGGAGTTTAATTTGCATAATAGATGTTTAATAGGATGAAGAATTATCCCATATGCGGAAGATAAAATCTTAGGTCTTTTTTTAATTAATATTTTCTTGTGTTTATTTGCTTTCGTATTTAGTTTAATAATTTAGATCTTAAAATCTTGACAAACTTGCATAGGCTGAATAAAAATCATAGTTGTTAGAATTCGATACTTAGAACTAGATACTTGAAGTATTCCCTGTGGGATCGACATCCGACTCTTTCGAGTGCACTTTTACTACTTGTTTGCAATACATGCACTTGTGTGTTAGGTATTTAGCCCAACACTAATGATCTAATCTTCTATTCTTAAGTTTCATAATTGTTTCAACTGGACGAACAACTTCTACTTTGGAAAGTTCTGGAAGTGTCTTTTAAAAAGCTAGAGGAAATTCCCGATTTTCCAGAAATGGTAAGCCTTTGTGACAACTGCTTCTACGCGACGTTCATTTTCATGTGATTGTGTCAATCCTTACGCGATTTGTACAACCAACAAATTTTTGTTCCCGGTTCTTTCTTGAATTGGAAAAACGAAAAAAAATCCCCCTTGCACCTGAAGCAGTTGGTCTTTTGTCTGGTCAAAAGGAAATGCAATATTTTTCCAGCTTTGTTCTCTTCTATTGTAGTGAAGCATTGAGTACACTATCTGCTCATGGAAGCTGTTTGCTGGATTCATTAGTGAAGCATTGAGTACATTACCTTCACCTCTACTTATGCATTTATACATTATAATCACCAGGTTAAAATAGTCATTTAGCATATACTACTTACCAATAGCTTAATTTAAACCCCTAATCAAATATCTGCAGGCTCGACTTTTTCGGGTTCCCAGCGGTCTCTTACGTCAGTAGCCTCATCAATTCGATAGTCAGCAGCACGAGACCGAGCTCGACTCTCAGAATCCAATTTCTTGTCAGCCCCTCTTTTTCTTTTTGATGATTTCTTCAGATTATCATGAATTTCTTTCTCGGATTCATCCATCTCCAATTTTCGATCATCTTTCTTGGAGTAATAACGAGAACTAGAATCAGAATCTCTATAGCTTCGTCTGTTGGAATTTTTATCTTCAAATATCTTAGAACCATTAGATTTTGGAGATTGTTCTGCGTGAATATGGGGCCCACACACTCTCTCCCCATCAGACCAATCAACTGTTAGATCGATTTTGTAGGTACTGCCTGCAAGATTGTTATGCTCGTCACTTTTTTTTTTTTTGGCGAAAAGATATGTTTCATTAACATGAATTTTGAGTACAAGGGGGCCTCGTTAAATCACAATCATACTTACTTCGATCAGTATCACTGTCATTGCTTTTTCCATCTCGAGTTCCTAATTTCCCTTTCATGCGAGTCCGAGAGCGGTTTGAGCTGTCGTAGCTGCTGTGTCTATCCTCGTTCCTGTCTGAACATTTTCTGTCGGAATCACTATCAAAGGACACATTGTTACGGTGCGGCTTCTCTCTAGAATTTGATGTATCGTCGTATTTCTTGTCATCGAGATCTTCTGGCTGATTTTTTCTGTCAGCGATTCTGGACTGTCGCCGATGTGAATTGCTTCGAACATGATCCTCGGAGTAATTTCTTGAACTTCTTGCATGATCCATGTCCCTTGATTGAGATCTGCGAGAGCGATATCTGACATAGAAAAGCCAAACTGGGGTTAGGAACAGAATGTTAATTCAAGCATTGCGCGTTCATTCGATTTATATAAAGATCTGCTAAATTAACTACAGAATAATATCATCTTTCAGCAAAGATTTGAAACCTACACTACTAAGAATTGAAGTAGTATTATGAAGTTCAATGGACGAAAATCAAACACAATTTTGAAGCTATAGTTTGCCACTAACCACCAAAAGTAATCAACTTTCAAAGGGAGAATTACATTCGTATCATGGGATTTAATCTGATAAATTCAAAGTTAAAGCAAGCATAACCCCACAAAAGTAGTGCTATTATATCTGAAATAATGTTGCAAAGAAAATAATCTCTGCAGACGCTTTGGTTGCACATTTCTCACAATGACACTAAAATCAATATCGGATTCATGCTCCCTTGTTTCTCGGTGTACGAGAGGATACACCTGATTTAGTATGCCAAATTTCAATTACAATGTAACCTCAATAAATTAATACTCGATAAATTAATAACCTCGCTTAAATAATAGTTTCTCTCGGTCCGACTCGGTGAGAACGTGTTAAATTATTAACTCGATAATTTAGTAATTCGCTAAATTAATAGAATTTCTCTAGTCCCGACTGTATTAATTTAAAGAGGTTTAACTGTACATGGTAGCATATACGGGAACATTTAAGCGCACCTGTCTGCATCATCAGTCAAACTTCTGCTGGAATTCCTGAAAGATCTTGGGCTTCCTCGCTCTATTTGTTTGTCGTATCCAGAGTCATCAGAATAACCAAATAAAGCAGTCATCTTTTTCAGCCAGTATCTCGGAGGTGGTTTATCCCAATCAGCCCACTCATAGTCTCCACCGGGATTTCGAAAGCAGTGAATAAAATTGCAGGCCGTTCCACGAGAACATGTCTAGGAAGAAATGCACAAATGCAGGGAACATGGTGCTCTTAGTCATTGTATGAAGGAAAAAAAAAAACATGAATTTGCAGTTTCAAAAAAAAAAATTTGTAGCGGTACTTGTCAAGGGAGGTAGGATGATTGTACAAGTATGAAGAAGCATAGATTCATAAAGTGTTTTAAATTTACCTGAAGCTTCGTCTTCATAAACTCTCCACATATAGCAACTTTCCATCTTGTTACCCCAATAAACTCGCATTGAATCTGCAAAAACAAATATGGAAATCGACATGAAAACATCAAGTAGCAAAAACAAACTGCATCGAAAAGCATACTTAGATTTTTTAGCAAGCAGGCAGACCATAGCATGAACTCGAAACTTGTATAACTTCCAGAATCCACATTAATATAATTTGCAGCGTACTGCGTACATTAGGCAAAAGAATCCTGTTATAACCAATTTCGATTATAAAATTGTCACTTCAAAAGAATATAGTCCTTATCCGCAAGAAAATGCAATCGTATGAAGTTTAATGAAGACTGTTAATTGCATCCCAACACGTAACTGAGTTAGTATTAAACACTGAATTGCATTAAGACGCCCTCATGATAATGGCTAGGTGTTGGAAACGATGAATCATTTTCGTTTTATATGCCTGTCACTTTAGCTTAAACTCCTCAATATATTATCATCAAGGGGAATGATCTAAAGTCTAAACATAGGATTGAGAGGTATAATTGTAGGTAAATAAGAAAGGAGAAGTAGAGTATTTCTAATTAGATGGAATTAAGCAAACATGCTTTTTGCATTTTAATAAGTAAAAAAAAGATGTTTTTTTAAAATAAAACCAAGCATCCGATCATAATGCGATCAGTCAATGAAAATTTTGATTTGCAAGAAATAAAGGAAGCGATCGATACCTGCTTTCCTGCAAAGTAACGACCATTTGCTGATTGATAAGCCAGCACAGCAGAATCCAAAGACTTATAGTGCACATACACATTTCCACGCAAATGAGACGAACCATTTCTGCATACCTGAACATGGTTATTAATTCATTACACATGAAATTGTAGATCAGCAGTGCCCAAAACGAATAATTTGCTTCAGTACAACTACAACTACTGTGTTCCATATCAGAATGATTAGCTTTTTACTTGCCCATCTTGAACAGAAGATAACAACACCTAAATAGTCACTTTGAAATGACAAACTTGCATCACCGATTGGAAGTTTACGACACTAAAATCTAATGTCTCTCCTATATAGTGTAATGAAGCTCAAATCCATAATGATGAGAGCAGGGAAATTATTAAGTGAAAAACTTAATGAACGTATATTGAAGATGAGGGCTACCTTGAAATTTATAATCTCCCCAAATTTCAAAAACTCTGTATGTACATCCTCATAGAACTCTTCATAAGCGGATTCAACCTCTTCATCTGTGTGCTGTGTAAAGGAACAGACATGAAAAAATTGATCTACAGAGAAATGTGCGAAACAATAAAGGGCGGTCAGAAGCACTGCCAGACAAAACACAGCAGTGCTACACATTTACCCTATTCATTAGACGCCGGCATTCTACATAATCAATCTAGTATACAACTTATTTATGTTCTTTTTTTCTCTATCATTCATCAAATAATTTTCACATAGTATAATAATAATCATAATAGTGTCAGTTATAAAAAATATACATACTTGTCAAGTTTGAGGTAACCTGGTAGTCTGGTACTGCATCTCAATTAAACTTTTGTCATGTGTAGAGGATACATGCCATGTAATACAAGTTCATCGCCAAGCTCATCGTATATATTACAGGTTCATTAAGGAATAAACCATAAGTACTGAGTCGCCACAGCTTTAGAATGTACTTTTTTTATAAGAATTTCTTATGTGCACTTACAGTTATGGGCAGGATGATGCAATTCTTCTCTAACGCATACAGATAAGACAAGTTCCTGAAGTTTTCACAATATCAAGACTTAAGATGTGACACTGACACGTACAGGTAGTAGATTGCAACATCTGGTAAACAAAAGCTCACCATTATACTAGTAGTAGTTAAGGAACTCAAATAGGTAGTGTGAAAACTGAAAAACCCCATTTAGCATATAAAGATTCTCTAAATTGTCAAAAAATAATATTAACAGCTAACACATTCGAGAGTAAGAAGATGTATCATTTTCTTTCTGTCCATGTGGAGATACCAGGCATAAGTTCACATCAGCACGGTCACATATAATAAATGGTAAAAAAAATAATGTCTAAAAGAAGAAGCAAGAAAGGCACCAATCAAGGTAGGAGCAAATATTACATAGAAGTTAGAACTTATAGCAAAATAAGAAAATAACTACAATCTTTGGCCGAGTACTGATCATGTGGAGCACATTGGTACACACAAACGTTCTAGTGAAACTTCCACCAAAACCAGTACCATGTACCTTCTTTCGAAAATCGTTCTGATTTAATTTCAGTAGCATGAAACCAATTAGAGCTCAAACTTGCATTCCACAAAGTGATGAAAAAGAAACATGTATAACAATAGGAAAATCCAGATAAATAAGAACTAATAACGTTGGATTTATGGGCAAATTCATCATTACTATCGTCAACGCTTGTCCCTGTCATGTTTGCATAGCATTCCCATGGATAACAAACCACTATATTTAAATTGTTCATCAGTGTTTCAATAGAAAGAAAGCATTCAGAATCCATTATTGACAGCATGTATGTCCTCTTCTTCAATCAACGATCAGAATCTTGGAAAGAGGAAGGACAAAATGAATTCTCTTAGTTATTTATTCTATTTTAAAAGACATTTTGTATACCTATCAAGTATTTGTGGTCAGAGAGTTAAAAGAGACTATATGCAATGCAACTACATAATGCTGTAAGAATTATTAAATAGCAGGATACTAGAGCCTCATGAAGACTTCATTAACAGACCTCAAGACCCTCATCCTGCTCCCAAGCTAGTCCAGGACCACCGTACATGTTCTTGATCAGCAAAGTGCATGACTTATCGGGGTAAAAGTGAATTCTGCTACAACGTGAACCAAAACGACAAGCCCCTGTTTTGAGATGGAAAGGGCAATGAGCTTTATCCTGCCAAACATACAACCAAGAAATGAGATGTAGCTTTCTTTTTCAAAGAGAAGGTCGCAAGGGGGGATATAAATAGCATTACTTTCTCCCGATACGACTAATGTCCTACCATCTGCTAATCATTACTATATAAATAGACACATTGTAAGAGAGATTAGTATAGCAGATTCCACCTGCTCTGTTCCAAAGTTTGGAGTCTCTTGAGCAACACTTTGTAGCAGCTGTTGAGCTGAAAGACTAGGCGTGTTCTTATAATCGGCAAAAGCTTCTGACTGTGGAGGAAGAGGGTTTGATGTGGGCCTGTTAGGATCCTACATTGTTATAGGATTCTTTTAAACATTAGCTCTATGGGATGATTATAATGTAACGAATTCGAACGAAATGTAAATAGAAAGTGAAACCTCTTTCGTAATCTGTTCGCCTGCATCTTGCTTTTTCACCCTGACTCTTTTCTTCTTCACAATAATCTCATTTCCCTGCCAAATAATTTCAGGAGGCCCTTCTTCGACGTACTCCCAACCATCTTCATCTACTTCATTCTCATATCCTACCTGTATGAGTAGCCTCGTAAGAAATTCAACATAGTACAATCGCTAAATTCATTTATACAGCAGATGAGTGCATGGAGACTGGGATGCCTCAGAAAAGCACCACATTTAGCAGTCATGAGGTACGGAACTGGTAACTATATTATTAGATCAAACTGTGAGGATACATATTGGCAAAACAATATCACAATACACAAAGAACAAGAATCTTTCTACAACAATAGATTACAGTGGGGATTGTCAATGCTATAACTGGTAAGTTAACCAAGACTCTCGAACCAAAAAAAAATGATACTCTTTTCATAAAACTTGAAGAGTTCAATACTCCACATTTCCCTAGATAAATATGGATAAAAGTCATTTGACAGGACTCCCAATCCCCATATAAAGATATTGAAATGAATGTTTTAGGAACCTTCGACCAGAGTTTACGTAGCATTATAAGTCAGCTCACGTAATACTGTAACAGCATTTTTTTCTCCCCCTGAACTATTTAAACCTAATCTTACATAATAAAGGATCCCGACCAAAAGTAAACATTTTAGAATCAATTTAAAAGAAGGGGTTAAAATAGTCAGCTTGTAAGATCCTATTTCAATATTTTTCTATCCAACAGCCACAATCAGGGCATATTACAACAAACTATATATTTATCTACCTCAATAAGTGACTCTTAGACTATTCGAGTTCCGTCAATACGATACAATCACCAACAACCATATGCATCCCCCAAAAATAACTCCAAACATCACGTCGATCTATCTTTGTCTACTGACGTAAGTGATAGCTGGTAAAACATGAATCATCAAAACCTAATGCAACTAGATTACAAATGAGGAACCATAGCTTCTGTTTTGAAGTTAAATCATTCATTCACCTGAAATACATATTTAATCACGGATCGAAAGAAATACACCTTTTATTAACTAATACATGGAGAGAAAAATACATGAACAGCTAGAATATGTCAAAATAGGTACCTGATTTTGTTTAGATTGATGTTCTTCTTCCTGAGCTAGTCTTCTCTCCTCCTCCTCCCTTTGTTCTTGAGCTCTTCTTCTCTCCCATTCTTCCAGAATCTTCCTCTCCCTCTCCTCGAACTCCATCCTTTCTTTCTCCACTCTCAACTTCTCCTGCTCCTCCTCGGCTTGGAGCCGAAGCCGCTCCTCGGGATCGTTTAGCCGAGCCTCCTCCTCTCGGCGCGCCATATCCGCCATTTCCTTCCTCTTTCTCTTCCTCTTTTCCTTTTTCGCCGCCTTCCTCCTCTCTTTCCGACTCTCCGCCGCCGCCGCCGCGTTTTCCGAAGTTCCCGTGCAAGTATTGGTGCTATTAAGGTTATCTTCTGCTTCTTCTTCATCTTCTGGCTCTTGCTCCATCACGTTGATCAAAATTTGCTGCTCTGCCATGGTCGGAGTTTTTCGAATTTGGGGAAATTTTCTGAGTTTGGTATTGTGGCAGAATCCTTTCTTCTACGCCGAATCGGTGCGGGTAAAAAATAAAATTAAACTTTAAATGTAGTAATTGATAAATAAATTTCTTATATATAAGGGTAAATTACAAACCCCCCTGAAGTATGGTCAATTTACGAAAAAACCCCTCTTGTTTAGATAATTACATCTATCCCCTCAACTATGATTTTTTCTTACGCCTCCACCCTTATGGTGTCAAATTCAACATAATTGTCTAGATTTCGTGGAATGTGCTCTAGTTTATACTCATTTTGTGTAAAAATACAGTTTTCGATGCACCACAATCTAATATATATAATCCAAAAAACACATATTATGATCATCTTGCTTCAAAATGTAAAGTTCGAATGGGATAAAACGGGTACAAAAGTGATAATATTCCATATAATCTCGAAGATTTCACTAAATTTGAGGAGTTGAGGGGGTTGTAATTATCCAAACAATAGAGGAATTTTCATAATTTGACCATACCTCAGGGGTGGTTGTAATTTACCCTATATATAATTATATATACGCAATTGGAATAAATTTTCTAATTAATGATTAATTTTGCTTAAAAGTCAGGTCAGTCTAGTAATAGTGAACTACCGACTTTTTTGATAATAAAAATTTATAATAAATATTTAATTGTAATTTTTATTTTCTTCATATTGAAATAATATATCAACGTAGTAAAAAACTCTGAAACATATATTTATAAACATCTACATGCTAAAATTTTAAATATTTTTTTAAAAAAACTTTTAAAAACAACTTATTATTGTAAAAAAAACTGGAAAATTAATAAAGAGATGACCGATAATACCACCAGCCGACCCGTTATTTACCCAACAAAGTCGATTGTCAACCATTATCCGACCTATAATGACCAACTAGTAATAATTTTCAATATTCAACAAAACTGAGTGGTCGATGGAGGTAATTGGTTGCTAATTGTCCGACCCCACCCATGCCCAGACTAATTAATTGTCGACAACTCGAAATGAAAACCGAGTTGATGGCATTAGAAAAATCGGGTGTTCGATGGATGTAATTGATCGCTAATTCTCATTTTTTAATATACTTAGCATAAGAAAAATAATTTCAATTTTGTTACATTGGAAAGAAATAGTATGAACAAAGTAAAATATATAAAAACATTAATTTGTCGAAAAAAAAGAGGAGTTTTCTGAAATGATTCCGAATTTCCGATGCCAAAAATTGAATCTATAATTCCAATCCCAATCCAAATAGTCTGGCGAAAAAACCAAAAATTATAGTTAAAAGAATATTCTTTAACTTGAATTTTTGAATAAGAATTTTTGGAGGTTAGAATTCGGTTTTAGTTTTCACCCGATGACACCGGTCGTTGAGATGTACACCAGTTGAAATACATCGAATGATTTTTAATCATTGATGTGATAAAATAACTTACCACCAAAAAACATAAAGATGAACCTGTGCGTAATTATATATTGATCAACGGTTAACAATCATTCAGGATATTTTATATTTTATCGGATGTAACATCAAATAAATCGCATGATACCATAGAATAAATTGATATTATAACTAATAAAATAAAAAATAAAAAAATAAAAACCTAACTATTGTGAAAAAAAGAAAAAAAAGAGTTGGTTATTATTTTTTTGTTTATCTTATTCTTAGCCAAAGGAAAATGGCTCATAAATTAGCTCACTTCAAATCCGATTTTAGGACGTCCCAACCAAACACCGCCTTCAAATTTGAATCACAGCTTTATATACAACCCTCGTTGTTACCCCAAACAACTCCCACCGTGAATTGCAGAACCGCCGGTAGAGAGAGAAATTCAGTGTGTGGTTGGAGAAATCGAAGAGGCATGGCGGCCACACAGGCACCACCAACGCCGACGAGAGTCTCGAACGCCGTGGCAGGTGTCGCCGCCGCGGCTGAACTCAGGACGGTGCTGATAACGGGGGTGAGCCGTGGTCTCGGCAGAGCCCTAGCGCTGGAATTGGCAAAGCTCGGCCACACCGTAATCGGCTGCTCTCGCTCCGCGGACAAGCTTTCCTCCCTCCAGTCGGAGCTCGCCTCCGCCTCCGAGAACAAGAGCAACAGCGGCAAACACCTCATCCTGAATGTTGACGTGGTAATTTTATTCTACACTATACTCCCTCAATTTTTTTCTACTTTTCTCTTGCTTAATTTTATGTGTCTGTAATCATGGTTCCATTTTTTTTTTTTTTTTTTTTTTTCATTTTTTGGCAACTGGTGTTCAATCAGAGGTCTGATAGTAGCGTCGAGGAGTTGGCGCGTGCCGTTGTAGAAAAGAAGGTCATTCCTAATATTATAGGTACATCTACTAAATAATTTTATTTTTTTGGTGTTTGTTTGAGACTGTTGTTTACTGATGAATGTGTTTGTTGTGGAAATGGTTGTGTGTATGATTTTTTTTTTTCTTTTGTTGCAGCTTTAGATATATTTGTTTTTTTTAGATGAGATTTGGTGGTTCTATTTTTGCGATATAGTTTGAATTTCGAACAATCTAATGTTTCGATCGGGATCTGCGTTTTAGGCAATGCTTCCTTGTCTGCGCACACTTCAATTGATGATGGCAGTTGCTTAGACTTGTAGCAAACGGATTTTGAATAGTTTAGGCCACGTGTGGCTACGAATTTCTAGCGACTGTGAAAATCAAACAAGATAAACACAATAACCGAAGGGTGTTATACATTTATCCCATCCTATCATAGAAAATTTCTCATTTCAACAAAAAAGAAACAAAAGATCGATTTATTATTATTACTATAAAAATTCCGGTTAGCTTTGAGATTGTGATGGTTATGAGATCAAGGTTTAACAATATTAGTTGATGCGCTATTCACTTTTGATGAAATGGTGTTTAGATATAAGATGTTTTTGAAGTTTAATAGTAGTACAGTATCTTGTTTATCAGCTCGCTAAAAAATAGGCAAAACGGATACTGAGTGAGTGAGTAATGGTGGGTTAAATATCTTTCCTGTCAATAATAGGGCTTCAGATATTTTATCGCAAATATTTCACATCCAATCACCATTCTAATAGTGAAGAATAAAAATAGTTAGAAATTAGAAAGTTTTGAAACAACTCTTACAAGCAATCAAAACCTATTTTTCACTTTTCCTGCCTCCTCCTTGTTTCTACTTTGGGCACCAATTCCTTTGTGCATTTTATGTAATAATTGGATGTGTTCGATAGTACATAACTGGTCTTATTGCACCTTTCTTATTGTTATTTCAGTATCACCCATTATTCTGCATTACAAACACATTATTTTGTATACGGCATTGTTCTAGTTCTTAATGGTACTTATGTTGCTGCATATGAAACATAGTGAGAAAAATTTGCTTTAGGTTGTTAAAAGGCTGGTTTGTGTTCGATTTTATGTACTTGCCTTTTGTATTTTGTACTCGTTTAGCCAAATTATGTGAAGTAATGCGTGATTTTTTTTTTCTAGTAAACAATGCTGGAACGATAAATAGGAATAACAAATTGTGGGAGGTTTCAGCAGAGCAATTTGACTCTGTAATGGACACCAATGTCAAAGGGACAGCAAATGTACTTCGTCACTTTATTCCTCTCATGATTCAGAAAAAGCATGGCATAATCGTCAACATGTCATCTGGTTGGGGAAGATCTGTTGCTGCACAGGTAAAATAGAGTTTTCACGTGTTCGCTTTATTATGTTGGGCAATAATATATATAATTTAAGTATTTTCGGTGTTGGTGCATTTGGCTGTTAAATATATAATGGCTCAATTAACTAATAAAATGATAGTTACTCCTCTCTTAGGCTTTTAATTTTAAAGTGTTGTTCAATCCAGTGTTTGTTATATACTTTAAAGAGAAGAATTCCATCAACAATGGGAAGAGGCATTGTCTTAGAAAAGAGGGAAAGCTTGCTAAACGTTTTTGCTGTAAATCGGTGATAATTAAATTTTGTAATCATCCAATTGAGCTGTCTCCGAAACCTAATTAAGCTGTCCGATATTCTAATTAATCTGGAGACACCACTTAACTAATAACTAAGTCGTGTCCATACATCTTATTTAACATACCTAATCTGTGTGAATGGTTATTAATTAAGCTACATGGCACGTATTAATTTGTTAATTAATCTGTTTCATATGTTGAGGAACAACAAGAGTTTGTGTTTTTTGTAGGGAGCGTAATATGACTTTTGCAAAGTTACTTTATCACCTTTTTTAAAAGAGTTAGTTAGGCAAATACATTCTCTTTAAGTCATTTTCGAACATTTGTTTTAATTTTTCAGTCTCCTGAAGTTGAAGTGTACCCGACATGTTTGGTTACAAGCATCTAAGTTCTGAATCTCAAAAAATTTCTGGTCCCGTTCCTGGACCATGTTATTAATTGTGCTGAGACGTTATTTAATAATATTAGGTAGCTCCTTATTGTGCTTCAAAATGGGCGGTGGAGGGTTTGACAAGGGCAGTTGCAAAGGAGTTGCCTCCTGGAGTGGCTGTTGTTGCACTTAATCCTGGTGTGATTAACACTGTGATGCTTGAATCATGTTTTGGAAGTACGGCTGCTCTATATCCAACGCCTGAATCATGGTACACTCTCTCTCTGTGTGTCATAATGCATTGTCAATACTTTGTACATTCCTGTATATTCTGTACATGCACATTTTGCAGTTTAGTGATCCGTCTATTTCAAAAAAATAAAATAAAAATCATCTATAATAATTTCGTCTGTTATAAATCTTGTTTTGTGTAAACGAGAACAATTAATCGATTTACAGTGAACTAATGATATTAAGTCATCGGATTTCTTTAGTTGACGAATGATTGTTTTTAGTAGTGAGTTTATAATTGTGAAATAGCACTTATTTGTTATCGTTTTCTTTCTACAACAAATCGCTGAATATTGAAGCATAACCTCTGCGTATCCAACACCTAACATCAGTGTTCCATCATTATAAAATATACATGAAAAATCACTTGTGTACTTACAGTTTCTGACTACACTTTGTAGATAAAAGTTATTTTTCTCA